GGGGTCCTGAGAGTCCCTAGGATAACCTGCGCAGACTTGATATTTAGAATTAGAAGAAAAAAGACTTTACTTGAACAAAGCAAGGTTTTTCGTGTCCTTTGTCATTCATGAGCTGAACTGACTCTCTGGTTTTCAATTTTCAGATTTCTTCCTAATGCCTTCCTCAATTCTAAAACCATTCCCTGCATAGTTGCTATGAATGTTTCCATGGAATTCTCATATAGTTACGTTTTTCTCAATACTATGGGCCCCTCTTGGCTATAGTTTATATTACGGCACCTATATTTAGGGTCACCAAAGTAGAGCCCTACTTTTGGGAACTGCCCATATCATTCCCTACACATGTTCTCCTCCCTAAACCCTAAGCCCTAATGGTTGCTTGTGGTGCTGGAGGAAAAGCTACTGGCCCGCCCTTCCTTACTGCTGCATGTCGGGGCCTGTTGCGATCCTGCAGAACACACTGCGCGGGTTTCCAAAAAAGGCAGGGCCCCTTCTGGGGAGTCCCTTTCTAAGGATTCTAGTATGTTGGACACATATAGGGTTATATAGGGATTTATAGGGATATATGAGGATATATAGGGGTTATCTAGGGATATATTCGGGGCTCCTTATTTGTGCCATTCCCCCTGCTCCGATGACGGTGGGCGCGCCAAGGCTCCGACCAATCCCAGGGTCTCTGCTGTAGCCTGCGTCTCAGCAAGTCTGGGTTGCTGGTAATTAAGGACCTGAAATGAAGACAGTCACCAGAATATGTATATACATACATATAGCAAATACATTATATAGTCACCAAAATATGTAGGCATGTACATATACATATGTATGTACTGTAGCAAACACTAGGTTTTCCTTATTAGATGAAAGCTGGGCGTGCTTATGTTATTCCTATAACCCCTATATTACCCCTATATATCCCTTTAAAGGGACCTAGGGTTTCCATTTTCTTGTCCATTATCCCTATATAACCCATATATGACCCCTATAAAGGGACTTAGGGTTTTTGGCCTTGTTGGAGGATTCTCTGCATTGAGGTCAGCCCACTCTGGCAGTTCCGAGCCAAAGCCCCAGTGTCCGAATTGGGGTTTAGGGTTTAGGGTTTAGGGTGTGGTCACGGGAAGAGGTGCTCGCTGGTGTGGGACACACCCAGGCCGCTCGCACCAGTGCGTAGCAGTCAACCCACCCCAT